CTGCATTGGCAGGCAGACTCTCAACCACTGCACCACCAGGGAAGCCTAATATCATTCCTTCTTTAAGAATTATATCAATATCATGACTCTTCCCCCCGTTATCTTCTTATTCATGTCCAAAAGTGTCTTTGGTTTGGGGATGCAGAACACTGTATGTCCCACTCACTGTTAAGTCTGAGCAAGAACCAACCTATATTTAGTCCTGTACTCAAAATGCCCCGAGGATTGGGAATTATTTTAGAAATCACATTAGCACTGTCCCAAGGCCAAGAGCTATTTGGGTACCTTGCTGGAGTAACCCAGTACTACCTTCTGGTTTTATGTTGGGCTTGCAAGATGAAGAAGTTGGGATAGTTGGGAAATTAGGAATTTGGGGGGGGGGAATAAACCAGTTATAAACAAGAAATAAAGAACTTAAGTCTTGATATAGCCACTCCCAAATGGACTTTTCTTGGCTTTCTTCCTCTTACAGGCATCTCTGTACGATTTGATAATTTGATCAGCTCCTGCTACTCAAAACTCTTGTCCTTGATTTTTATGAGATTGCACCCCTTGGTATCCTAACTATGTTCTGACAGCTCCATTTTGGTTTGTTTCTCTGGCTCCTCTTCTCTTCCTTGCCTCCCATTATTGTTTTCCTACGTTTCTGGCCTTCTTTCTTAGCACTTTCTTCCAGGGAAAACTTCCTTGGTTTCTACAATTTCTTCTGGGCCATTGACTCCCAAACCTGTATAACTATCTCCTCTGATCTCTCTTGAACTTCAAATCTACCTGCATGTCCTGCTGGCCCCCAACATTCAGCATATCAAAGAGAAAACTTGTCATCTCTTCTCCCCTTCCAAAACCAACATTTCCTCATAACTTACCCTCATGCCTTAATGATCACACTTAGGATTGAACTCCCTCTACCAAATCAACTTTGGCCTCCTCCTTTTCCTCAAAGGATATCTAAATACCTTCAAACAGGTCTCCAGTCCACCTTTCTAGCTGCCATTCAATCCCACTCTTCCCAGCCCTTTCCAAACTCCGCTACCTATTTACCATCAAATTTCCCATAGCCTTCACCTTTGACACTTTACTCTGCCTCACATGCCTTTCTTGTTCCCTATTCTGTAACAATCCTACCCATTCTTTTTTTTTTAACATCTTTATTGGGGTATAATTGCTTTACAATGGTATGTTAGTTTCTGCTTTATAGCAAAGTGAATCAGTTATACATCTACATATGTTCCCATATCTCTTCTTTAAGGCCTATTTCAGTGCCCCATAAAACTGTTTTAGAGTCCAATAGCCACACATGATCCTTCCTCTGAAGTCTTGTACTAGGCCAGAGTATACCAGGCACTGTATGAGGCATTATACATCCAGAACTCAGTTCACCTTCTCTACAATTCTGCCTGTGAGGCAGGTATTAATATCCCCATTTTGCATATGAAGAAACTGAAACCAAGGGTTGTATAGCTTGAAAGTCTCGTCCATGGCTTTTGTGATATTGTACTACTTACATGCTGACAGTTCCATTTTGGTTTATTTATGTGGCTCCTCTTGTACTCCTCACCTCCCATTGTCACTGTTACTTTCTAAAGTAGCAAAGCCCAGAATTGAAGCTAGGTTTGCTTGCCCTTAACCACCTTTGCCTACTGCTTGAAGGGCGTTCACTGTTGGTACCCAAAGGGCCCTTGATCTTCAGGTAAGGACTGTGGCTGAATCACAGTAAGCAGATCCCTGCACACAGTGGGAACACACTCAATGAGTGTTGGGTGGAAAATGGATGAGCAAAGTCATATTTATGAAAAATTGTAGCAAGTTAAAAGTCAATCCTGTATACAAAGGGGAGACTTAAAACCAATTTCCAGCAGCCCAAACTTAAAACATCTCAGAAGATAGGGAAGAACATTCCCTTATTCCTGCTTGCGTTTGTGACTAGAGAACACAGGAGCCCTATGCAGCTACCAGCCCCTTCTGGATTGCCCTTCTCTCATTATCTGCACACACATTTGTCAACTCTTGGTTCAGTGTCTTACAGCTTGTGAATCAGGTGGGGGTGTAGAATTATCCTCACTTAACAGATGAAGAAAGTGAGACTCAGAGGCAGCATAGTTTATAAGAGCAGAGGCTCTATAAGAGCCAGACTGTGCCTGCATTTGAATTATGACTTAAGTACTTATTGGCTGTTTGAATTTGGGCAAATTATTTAATCTCTAGGAGCTTCAGTTTTCTCATCTGTAGGATAGGGATAATAATAGTGTTTCCTCAAAGGGTTGCTGTGAGGATTAAATGAGTTGATGTGTGTAAAGTGCTTAGAATAGTGCCTTACATATATTTAGTGCTGTATATTAGCTAATATTATCATCTTTATCATCCCTTCTTTAGCAAGGTCTTAAATCCAAGTGTTCTTTTTCCACCTTCTCTATCTATGGTGTTATGTTGGGGAAAAAGTGGTTCACTAGGCTGGCCATCTGGTGACCTTAGGCAAGTCACTCCTGCTATGTTATACCTGATCTATAAAATGAGGGATTAAGGATGATGATCTTTGAAGTGCTGCCTAGTTCTGTCATTGATTCCAAGTAGGCAGTGACAACAGACTTGCCAATTGGTTTGTGGCCACTGGGTCCTATCCAGGGATTGGCCTTGTCCAGGGCATAGCTGGACTTTGTGACCTGAGTGCCCAGGCAGGTCAACTGGACTAAATGGGGACAAGAATGAGCCAAGTGCTGCTGGGAGAATCCAAGCATGGAGTCCCTCAAAAGAAGACTGCACTGTAGAAAAAGTACAGGCAGTGGAATCAGCCAGAACTGGGACTAGGGTAATTCAAACAGCATCACAGATAGAGTCCTGAGCAGAGCATTGGTAAGTGATGCCAAGATCACTCTTTGACCCTTGATAAAAAGTCAATGATATATCTTTAGACTATAAGCCCTCATGGTGCTCTGAGTTGGGCCTGTATGTGCTTATCGAGCTCTAGCAGCACCCTGTTGGTACCCATATTTGGAAGGAGAGGGGAGACTTCTCTGTAAATACTTATTTTATTGAGGTCAGTGACCAGCAATTCTTCTTCTCCACTGAGGCCAGAACAAGAAGATATTGACTTTTAGTGTAATTGGAAGAAAGCAAGTTCAACATATAAATGAATCTCCTCTTAGTCAGGGGCACCAATAACTGAAGGTGGCTGTCCACGTCTCTTTCGTTGGGGTTGAAGAATGGAGCCATCTGGTTTATGATATTATGAATGGAGTTCTGTGAGTTCATTTTAGCTTATTAGTAAACATTGGTAGTATGGAATGATAGGTATTAGTGCATATACAGTCAGAAGACTGAGCTCCATAATTTATTACATGTGTGATTGGCCAAAGGACCAGGTCACCACTCTAAGCCTCAGTTTCCTTATCTTTAAAATATGGGTAATAGATCCAGCTCATTCAGTAAGGATCAAGTGATACAGTAGATGTGAAAACACTTTGTGAACAGTAAAGCATGAGGTACTTTAAAGATGTTATTACAAAAGGTCCTATTTGAAATCTCTTTTACATCCAAGCCGAGGACCTCCCTCTATGCCTTCTATAGACGGCACAATGGCTAGACCCCTGAGCAATGAAGGATGCCTCATGCAGGAGCTAACCAACAGAATGCCCTAACTAAGTCAAAAGATCAGTGTGTGTGTTTTCTGTGTGTGATGTGTTATGCATTAATATCATGACCATAGAGTTATTCTCTGGCTGGTATGTTGGAAGGCAGACCTGTGTGAGAGGATGCATGTTCCATATTCTGTCTCTGTTATCTTTAAATTGTTTTGACTTCAGTCTTGTGGAGCCATAATTGCCTTGGGGTTCTTCCTCAAAGTAGGCTGATGGAAAAGATGACTTCTAGAGGACATGTTCAGCAATTCAGTTCTGGGGAGGGAATGTTTGAATCCTTTGCCTGACAGGACATATGTTCTCTATTCTGGAAATTGTTCCTCCAAATGCCAGAAAGATTGATGACCCATACAGGCTGGAACCAGTTAGGGGGAAAAGAAGAATACATAGCACAGTGGTCAGGATGGTAGCCATAGAGAAACTAACTATTCCCTGACACCCATCCTCATCACTGTGTGTAGACAAGTGTCATGAACATATGTGTGTGTATGTTTATGTGGCAGTGGCATAGATGTCTGCCTGGTGCTATGTGGAGCCAAGTCCTGCTGGCCACAAATTCTAAGGACCAAGGTTAGGCTCTGTGCATAGCCCCTGTCTTGCTGAGTGAAACTGAGCTTACCCCTTAACTTGCTTATGGTTCAGTTTTGCCATCTATCAGATGCAGAAGTCAACCTAGATTCCCTGTGTACCTTACAGGGTGGTTGTTTAAATCACTGAGTGAATCTGTGACAATGTCGAGTTCCTTGGGAGCAAGGTATCACAGAACGCCAAATTCTTTCATACCTATGAACACATGACCTCTCTGGATAGCATCATGTGTGGGTGAGAACAGGAGGCTGCAGGACTGGGGTCCATTATATGTGAAGAATGCTGTGGTCTGTGACTCCTGAGGGTGGGGTAGAGTAGGATTAAATAATGTATCACCAACTCTCAATTGGACAGTTCCAAAGAAGAAGAAAGGGGGAGGAGCACAGAGAATTTATAGCAAATATGCTCGAGCCTCATTTTAGCCATTGGTTTCAGACTCTCCGCCCATTCCAGATCCAGGGCTGCCTTGAAGTACCAAGGAGAGATGGATTGGAGATTTTTCTTCTCTAGGGAAGGAGATTTTGAGTAGGGATAAAATCATGAGGCCTGTGTAGTCCATATACACATTCGGGGTCATTCTACCCACTGGCTAATGGAGAGTTGATAGTATTATTTGTCTTGTAGTCCAGTGGAGCTTGCTCTCCCAATGTCATCTCCATCACCCTACCCTTCATCACTAATATGTGAGTTTTTCCATAAGTAGTAGAGATTTGGGGAGGGGGGCAAGTAAGGTAGCTAGACGTGTGGACTGAACACATTCTTATTTTGTCTCCTAAGCTGATCACTGGAGATTCCATCGTTAGTGCTGAGGCAGTATGGGATCACGTCACCATGGCCAACCGGGAGTTGGCATTTAAGGCTGGCGACGTCATCAAAGTCTTGGATGCTTCCAACAAGGATTGGTGGTGGGGCCAGATCGACGATGAGGAGGGATGGTTTCCTGCCAGCTTTGTGAGGGTGAGTGTCAGCCTTCACTCTCCTCTCCTGTCTCCTTGGCTACTTGCCCCTGGCCTCCCCTTCACCAGCCCTTGTTCTCCTCCTTCCCCTTCTTGTGGCTCCTCACATTTTTCCCCCTGTGTTTGGTCGCCTACCCAGGGCCCGGGCCTCCTTTAATCTTTGCCCTTCTAGTTTTGAGACTTTTTTTATCTTGTTTATTTTAACAATCCCCACCTCCTGCCTCCCACCTTCTACCCACTGTGACTTTGCACAAATCACTTCCCTTTTTGCCTTGATGGTTTTGAAGATGCTTTTAACTCTATATTGCTGTGAAATTTTACCTTTCTTCTCTCTCTTTTCTGCTTTCTTTCTTTTCCTTGCCTCCTCTTTTTTTATCCTTTCTTTTTATAGATCTCTTCCCACCCTCTTTCTCCCCTCCCCACTCCTCTCTGCTTCCTTTGCCTGCTTTCTCTCATTTAGGGAAGTGTGAACACCCCTGCGTGTTGTCTTATGATTGTTTACAGCTGTGAATGTAAGAGTCTGGGCTCCCTACCCTCCCAGGGGTTGGAGTTTACTCATTGCAAATCTTACTTTTTGCAAGGTGGCTGGGAACTAAGATGTGTCCAGGGTGGGAAGCAGGCAGCTTGATAGTGCTGGCAAGGCCTTGGCCCCTTTGACATTGTACCATGAAAAACCCGGCCGTTAAAAGAAGGGGTTCTTGGGAAGGGGCTCCTTAGCAGTTTCCACTTCCTCTGGGTCACCTATTAGCAGGATGCTAATGGGGAAAGAACATTGGCCTGGTGTTCCAGCTCTTGGCCATCCTTGGAGTTATGAGCTAGAATCAGCTGTTTGGCAATTGTGAGCTCTGATTTTCCCCATATGCAAAATGGTGTTGGCAATTCTTTCATGACAGGGGATATCACAGTGAATTAAATAATGTACATTAAAACAGATTTGTGGCAATACAAGTACCAAAGCCACATCAGGATGTCTTATGACCATCCTTACCACAGCCTATCATCTTTTGTTAGTTTCTTTTGTAACATAAGACTGAAGTCCTGACCCCAAACAAAAGATCAGAGTGGCTTGGGCCCTTGAAGAATGAAGGGTCTCAGGATAAGAAGGATAGAAGTGTGACATGAAGGAAGGAGAAGGGCATTTGGAATCAGATAATCTGAGATGCAGATGCAGTTTCAGCTTTACTACCTCCTAGCTCTGTGGCTTTTGGCAAGACTTTTATCTTTCCTGAGCCTTATTTCCTCATCTGAAAAATAGGAATAGCAGACTTTTTATGAGGATTAAATGAGATCACTATGTGAGTAAAGAATCCGACACAGTGCTTGGCACATAGTGGGTACTTAGCAAATGGTAACTTGCTTTATCATCATCATTATCCTCATCATCACCACCACCACCTCCAACTTATTAACTCCAATAAGGTCTATGTATCAAGGCTGGTCATAGTGGTTGAAAGAGGCCTCCTTCCTTGGAGGGCTGCAAATGTAGGAAGCACTGTTATCCAGTTAGAGCAATTTAGGTGAGGGCACTGCTCAGAAGCAAGGAAGTAGACAAAATAGCCTCTCATCCCCTCTATCCTGAGAATTTCTTAATGAAATATCCAGTTCTTTCTCCTCTACCTATATGGAGTCTTCCATCAGAGTTTCCACGTGCTGTGTGTCCAAGCTCAGCTTTGTTGGTTGATGAACTGGTCCCAGGGGTAGTTAGAAAGAACGCAGCAGTAACCATGGGCCTTTGGAACTAACAAGAGGCCCCGTACACAGGCAGCTTGTGTGTCTTAGACTGACAGCCCCCCTTTTAAAAGAAGGATTAAACTGCACCCAGTGACAAAATCACCCAAATCTGCATGTATTTCACCTACAGTGAAATGTCATTTTTATAATAAACTGTAATTCAAGGGGTGGGACAAAATATTGAGCAAGGCAGAATGACCCCAGGAGGTGAATGACAGAATCAAGCTTCAGAATATCAATGAACTGGCGTTGATTTTCCTACATCCAAGTCCAGGAGGAGTGTTTCTCCAAGCACACAGCCCCAGCAGCCTGTTGGATGGGCTGAAGCTGACCTTTGAGAAGACCACTGGCTGGGCCAGGCATGCATAGTATAGAGTCTAGCCTAGTGGTTCTCAATCCTGGCTTCACAATGAAATAATTCACTTGGAATCTTAAAAAAAAAAAACCCAAACACTAAAACCCAGGCCCTAGGCTAGTTAAATCAGAGTCTTTGATGTTGAGAACGATTTGGCCTAGGCCAGTACAGTCCAATAGAAATATAATGTGAGGGACTTCCCTGGTGGTCCAGTGGTTAAGACTCTGTGCTACCAATTCAGGGGCCCGGGTTCGATCTCTGATCATGGAATTAGATCCCACTTGCTGCAGCTAAGATCCCTCATGCTGCAACTAAAGATCCCACATGCCACAATGTAGATCCTGCATGCCACAACTAAGATCCACACAGCCAAATAAAATAAATAAATAAATAAATATTTTTAAAAAAAGAAATATAATGTGAGCTACAAATGCAAATCTCAAATATAATTTAAAAATTTCTAGTAGCCACACTAAAAAAAGTTAAAAAGATACAGTGAAATTAATGTATTTTGCTTAACCTAATATATCTAAAATATTATGATACAATATCATATATTATCACTATAAATTTTCTAAAAATATATTTTACTAAGTCTTTGAAATCTGATGTGTTTCTATACACATCTCAGTTCACACTGGTCACATTTCAAGTGTTCATTAGCCATATATGGCTAGTTGCTACTGTATCAGATAGCACATATTGAGACTGAGGACTGTGACAGTAGACCAGGAGCATTAATGACAGAGCCTAAATCATAAGTTAGAGCTCCAATATTCTATTATACCAGCTCCAATATTCTATTATATTCTATTCTATTTTACCAGTGTTTATTCTTTGAGAAACTAAGATAGCATTCCATGTTGTCTCAGATTGTATTCAGAATGAGCATTTGATCATTGCAAACCTTTTTTTTTTTTTTTTAAGTAATGTTGAATGGTCTTCAGATCTCTAAAGGAGAGTACCATGCAACCTTAGTGGCCAGCTGTTGTGGTGTCACCAGTAAAAAGAAATGGGGTTAGACTGTTGCATGAATGATGTGAAAATTGACTCCAAGTTAGACCTTTCAATTCTCATGAATGAGCATTTATGTGTAGGTTTACATTTCTGGTAAGATTGTATGTTCGTCAAGGAACTGAATGATGGAAGTTATGTAGGCTCTTTTCTAGTAGATATTTAAAAGTAGAATTGCTATTTCCATTCTTCTACACTGATTTTGGTTGAGGGTAGAATGGTATTGTGCAAGCAGTGCTAAGTATATTAGAAAATGAGAGACCTGAGTTCTAATTTGGCTCTCTAAAACATTTGACATATGATTATTTGCTTTTAGTTTCTCCTTCACCTCTGAAGCATTCTCTAGAATCTATTCAAGCTCTGACAATGTCTAGGTAAGACATAGTGATGAGTCACACTGAACTGTTGAATCTTCATTAGTACTGATGTTATTGGTAGGTAGATAGGTGGTTTCCTGAGAGGCTGTACCTATATGTTGTATAGTTCCCTTGTTTATCCAGAATCATCCTGAGCTAAGATTCAGTAGCTCCTTGAGAATATCATCCTTAGGTTATTTGGCATATAACATGAAAGTATAATGGCAAAGAAAAGACTTTCCTCCTAACTCTATACCAACCGGACACCTTTGTGGATCACTGGACCAAATTGGTCACTGGCATAGTGGAGAATCTCCATTTCCTATTTGGAAGACTCATTGCTGTGTGAACATCCCAGCCCTAGGATGGATAATCCAGGGTGCTTAATGCTGTTCTATCCAAGCTAGCCATACCTGTTGTTAATCAGGTTTAAAACCAATGTGGAATCTGAGAAACCCAGATTCTTGCCTCAGTCTGCTGAGTATGCAGCTTGAGCAGCTTCCTGTACATCTTTGAAGCCCAGTTTTCCTCCTTGTAAAATGGGGATAATTAAGTCTTTTAAAAATCCTTTGTAACCAGAGGTATGCTGGATACCTGTAAATAGGAAGTGTGATACCACTTTGGTTACTGTACAAGAAATTGCTGGGTTTATGTATCTTCTATTCAGTCAAATATCTGCCTCTCCTGTTGTTCAGAATTTCATTCTGTATGTATATACATGTATGTGTGTGTGTTCTGAAAGTCTCTTTCTTCTGTACTGGGAATATGACTTCACAAGAGCAATACAGGAGTTGATTTACCTTCCCAGCAATTGGTCAGGTTAAGTGAATTACAGCTTGCTGAACATTAGTCCTCACATCTAACTGTTGACATCTTCAGCTGATTTCCTGGGCCAGTTTCCCCTTTGGGAGCTGAGAGCAGATTGCTGGGATATGATTGTGTCTCTAAGTAGAAAATCCCATCCCTGTGGTGGCCCTCCTTTCACATGCTGGCCCTAACTCCAAATCATTCAGGTCCCTTTCTTTTCTTTTCTTTTTTTTTGCGGTACGCGGGCCTCTCACTGTTGTGGCCTCTCCCGTTGCAGAACACAGGCTCCAGATGTGCAGGCTCAGTGGCCATGACTCATGGGCCCAGCCGCTCCGTGGCATGTGGGATCTTCCCGGACCGGGGCACGAACCCGTGTCCCCTGCATCAGCAGGTGGACTGTCAACCACTGCGCCACCAGGGAAGCCCCAGGTCCATTTCTTTTATCACCATGTAAAAATTGGCCTTTGCTCTGACTTTGGGCCATGGCCTGGGGACAGCTTACTGCCCACTTGAGGGCAGGCTCCGTACAGAATACATGACAACCTGCTATTGTCAGTGGTAGGTGAGGCCTGCGGGACAAGATATGGGTTTGTTCAGAAAATAAAGAGCCTACTCAGATGCCATCAGAATGTATTGTCCTTGTTTCTTCAAATTCTAGATTTCCCTGGTTTCTGGACTACATGGATGCAGGAGATGAAAGGATGAGCTAATTAGGTCGTTACCATCATTCCTTACAGT